CAGTGCTGAGTTTTAGCAAGCAAAGGAGAAGCGTCTGGTTCTGCTAGGAAGCAGTTCAACTGCTGCTGATTGCTACCATGTCCAAATGCTGCTGGCTGAACAAAAGTTGGTGGCGGACCATCAGTTTCAAGTGGACAGTAACTGAGCTGGTGTATTGTAGGTTGCTAATTTCTCTCTTTTTTTTTTAATAGCTGGCTAATCTCCAAAGTTTTTCAGTTTTTTTTTCCTGTGTTTTTTTGTTTGTTTGTTTGTTTGTTTTTTTTTTTTGTCCAAGAGGTTAGGTTTCTGTGTGTGAATGCAGTATTTAATACTGCATAAGGAAAGGTCAGTAACAATTTTTGGCCTATTGTGACATTCAACTTGGGGCAATAAGTGAGGAGGTCTGTATTTTTCCTCCTTCTTAGGGCTTCTTTTTTTTTCTAATGTCCTAGCTTCACTTATAATAGCTGGTGTACTTGTTGCACTAGAGTGGGTTAGGTTATACAGAGTTGATCAAGAACTCTGTTTTAAAATTTCTTATAATAAGAACTTACTCTAAGGCCTTCTTGAACTACTAACTGAGGTACAAACCCCATTCTTTCTTTTTGTGCCTTTGTTCAGGTGTCAATCTAAGCCAATGTGCCCACCCTGAATATCTGACAGATGATTAAAGACACTGGGTGATCAGATCAGCTTCACTATTTCTTCCTACCACTTGCACTGGTCTGGGATCCTTCTCCTGCTGGCATATGATATCCTACTTCCCGTATTTCAGTCTATCCCTGTTTTGTCTTTTCCACATATCCTTCCTGTCCCTCCCACCTTCTGCTGACCATCCCAGGACTGGGACAGGGCAGAGTGTGCGGTGCCAGGCTGTGTGTCGTCGGGCTGCTGGCAGACCTGGTGTTCCTGCAGCACATGCACTTGGCCTCCAGCAGAATCCAGGAGGCAGTGACTGTGGACCGTGGGGCAACATGCCAGCCACGAGGTGTTTCCCAGCAGCTGGCCACGACATCTGCATGCATGTACTTACTTTCCCGCTGTCAGCTGCTTAGCTGTCAGGCGTGTACTAGCCTTGCCATACACCCTCCTCTTCCCCAGGCTTAGTCAGATGTCTCATACTGAATTATTAGCTGCTAGCCAACCTCCTAAATTGTGCTGTGAGCCATATATTGCACAACCCTAATTCAAATCAGCACTGTGTCTGAGCAGCATATTTATGTAACCTGTATTAACAGTGGGTGGCTGTTGGTCCCTCTAGCAGAAAGAGTTATGGCTCTACAGCTGTCTTTCTTTGTACGTAAAACTTCCCAGAATCACAGAATCATGGAATGATTGAGGCTGGAGATGAAACTTCCTGTGTTTCAATTTGTACCCACTACCCCTTGTTCTATCGCTGGCCACCACCAAGAAGAGTTTGGCCACATCCTCTTTATATTCCCCCTCTTCAGTATTTGTACATGGTGATAAGATCCCCTCTTGAGCTTCTCCAGGCTAAACAGGCCCAGCTCGCTTAGTCTTTCCTCATACAATAGATGCTCCAGTCCCTTAATCATCTTCATGGCTCTACACTGGAACTTCTCTAAAGATCCACGTCCCTCCTGTGCTGGGGAGCCCAGAACTGCACCCTATGCTCCAGGTGCGGCCTCACCAGAGGTGAGAAGAGGGGCAGGATCCCCTCCCTCAACCTGCTGGCATCGCTCCTCCTGATGCAGCCAGGATCCCATTGGCCTTCTTGGCCATGAGGGCACATTGCTGCCTTGTAGTTAACTTGTTGTCAACCAGGACTCCCAACTTGCTGTTCTTCCTATTAACATAGGACCTGCAGAACTTGGAAGACAACAGGAGGAGCCAGGTCTCACTTGGTGCTTGTATTACATCTCAGACTTGGGAAAGGATGGTTTTCAGGCTCCAGGTCTATGGTCCAGCACATAGATACCTGTGAGCAGGAGGCTTTTTCCCTGGAATTAAATATTTGCTGACTTCAGTCAGGAAAAATGCCTGATGCTGTGTCAAGTGAGTGCTAATGGGGCAAGGACAGTGATCGATGTACTCTGTTAGTACTGTTAGTACTGTTAGTATGACAATGTGATCATCTCTTCTGACATAGCATTATCACGTTTTTATTAGGATGCCAGTCACAATATCAACAACATGCAAATGTTTTACATTTTGATAGTGAGGCACAGGCAAGAATGTTTTAACTAGGGTTTCTGTGTGTCTTTAACTATAATCTGGTATTTCTGCCTTTTTAAAAACAACCAAAATCCAAGCAATTATTCAGTTGAATTCAGTTATTGTTTCAGCAAGAATTTTTATATTTTTGCCACATTTCAGCCTCTCTTACTCCACAGTGCTTCTCATTAGGCCAGAAAAGCTTTGTCATATCCACCTTTAGAGATTAGTTCCAGACCATGGAGATTTCAGTCAGGGTTTTATTTCGGACTGTTGCTTCTAAACATTCTTTTCCATTTAAAATTTGTGGGTTCGGGTTTTTTTTTTTTTTTCACCTGTTTCTGGTTTTGCAAACATGTCAAAGTAAAACACATGAACTCTGTCTTTCTGATGAACATGAAAATAATATGAAGTCAACTAAGTTCCTAGGTGGTTTACTTATCAAAGGCACAATATTGAAACAGCTCTCTTCATCATACTTCATTTTAGGCCATGTTATCAAATGTTTCTTCCCTGACCTTGCTTTTCAGCCTGTTACCACTTGAGGTACACTGAAAACAGGCATCCTTCTTAATATCTGTTACTGTTTTATTAAAATATGTCCTTGAAAAATAAAGAGTCTATCTAAATTAGATCTGAGGCCCCCTAAATAGATGACTTTATTCTTAGTTTCTTAACTCAGAACCGAGTTTGAGACCTGCCTTTTTGTAGTTCTTCAAAATGTAGTTCTTCAACCTAAATGCTTAGGCATGCAGATTTAGGAGCTATGCTAGAATACCTGGACCTTACATTCTTTTTCGGATCTGTCTTTGTAATTTTAAAAAGACATATGGCTTACATAGTGGCTGTTGTACCTAGTGGGTTGCTATGTGTTTCTGTAGTGGTATTGAATTCTTCTCACCATTGGGTTCCTCCAGCAATCAAAATACATCTAACAAAGAAAAACGTGCAGAAATGTTGAATTCCTGTTTTCCAATTGCCAGACTTCCTGCAACCAGGAGGACAAGGAGAGAATATGAAAATGCTGGCACTTTTTCTTGCTTTTTTATTGAATTGGATACTTAGATGTTTTGAACAAATTCAAAGCAAAATAAATTGCTGTACTTCTGGACTCCCTAAAACCACTTCACAGTAACAAGAACTCAACAGTTCTTAAAGAAGGAACTGTGAATCAGGGAACAAGAACACCAGTTATTTCAGCCAGCTGTCCTCCCACCTTTATTTTTGTTTCATTCTCCTTATTTCTCTTCTTGCTATTCACACTTCTGAAGAATGTAAAGTTAATGCTTTAATCTTGCTGAATTCAAAATAAAAATATGTTTCTTATTTCTTCATATTATTTTCACTGATCAAAAACTTTTTATGCCCTTTTCTCATCAGATCAGAAAATTTTGAAAAATTTTGAGTCTCAAACTGCTTATGTCTTGAAGCTGCAGTCCTCCTAATATATGCTTTCCTAGAAGGAAGATTGGCATCCAAGCAAAGATTATTTGCTTTCAACACAAGTGTTACAAGTTCTCATTATTTTAAACTTAAGAGGGAATAAGAGCTGATCACATTTTCCAGCAGAATATTTTTCTATCAGAAGGTGTTGATTCATTTGGGAAGAAAAGCTAAATGACATTTTTTGACCTTTCTGGAACATAAGTTTATGTGGAAAAAGGATGGGCAGGAAATTGAGAAAAAGAGCAGTTAAATTAAAACAGGTTAACAGAACACAGTAGTAATTAGAATAAGAGGTTGGAAATTTAAAGCTAGGCGTCTTCAATGACTCTGCGCCTCTTATGGTTCAGTATTTGAGTTGCATCAAAAAGTGAAAATGTGCAGAGGCATTCCAGCAGCCTCCCTTCTCTCAGGCAGTGTTGTTTCTGAACTGTGCCTGGAGGGCAAATGGGAAAATCTGAGTATTTCTGAGTGTGCAGGCAGACGTGTTGCTACATACAATTTCAAATAGTTTGAGATGTTGTCTTTTCACCTAAGCTGCCATGTGTTACTTTGAAATGCATTATGAGAGGTTGCAGCCCAGTTACTTGTAAAGAGGCAGTAAATCCAGCTGGTGGGGCAGTAACAACTCAAAATATTCAAGCTTCATTGCAGGAACGCATTTGATTATCATATATGAAATATGACTAAGTCAAGAGTTGTTTAAAAAATGAGAGTTAGATTGTTATCTTGTGTTGGCAGCCCGTATTAGCAGGGTGGAGTTTATAAAATTACATCATAGGTCCACATATATGTGTATATATATGTATGTATTTTTTCTAGTTTGAATTTAAAACAAAAGCATTTGTTTCCAGTATGGAAAACATTCTAGCATTTCTTTTTCTTTGTATTTTTGCATTGCACATGAAGATTTGTGGTCGACAAGAGAGGTGTATGTTGAATGGTGTAAGTGAAGTCATAGTTCAGACATGACCGGACAGAGATACAAAGTTAGTCCTTTACAAAGCACTTCTGCTTTGAATTTTGAAACTTTCTAAAGGTCTTTATTATTTTACCATATTCTAACCATTTCCTAATTTAACAGACTTTTTAATCATTTATACCTCTACTTCTAAATTTGAGACTTTCATTGTCTATTTAAATACCTGAAAAGTGGAAGATTTGCTGTAAATTGTAACATTTTCTTCCCCAAAGATCTGTATGCTGTTACAAGAATGTGGTCAACCCCTGTATGGCCATTTAATAGCAGTTTATAAACTTGTGCTAGCTTCTGTATGAAGGGTGTTACATAAAGCCAGTTAGTTCTGTCGTTTATTACAGTTTATGTTTTGATTAAACTAGTAATTTTTCCATTCATTTTTCAGTAGAGAGTTAACCTATCTTGTTAACTTAATCCTTTTTAGGGTGAAGTTGTGGAATTCCTTGATGAGCTGTTAGAAGTGGAGGAAAAGAATGAATCCTGATGAGCGAAGATGTCATGAAGTATTTCACAAAAGTGCTCCCTCCTGTTGTTTTTGGTTGCCTGTAGTTTCAGTTAGATATACCTCAAAGCTGCTCCTTTAGGTGCCATCGTGTGTCACAAGATCCACTCCTGAAAGATCACTGCCATGCTGCACTGACTCTTTCACGAGCGTGGCTTTTCACTGTGTGTGCTCACAGTTTATGCATATGGGTTTTCACCTCGAACTTTCCTTCCTCACACAAACACAACTAAACAGACTATTCATATTTTCCGGGCTAACAACTAAGATTCCTCATTTCAATGTCGTTCTAATAAGTTATAACAGTGCAGATAATTCTGAAGAACTTTCATCAGAGCATAAACTGTGAAAGATACAACAGTTCCTCCAAACTTTCTGAGCTATGTAATTGCATTATTTATGTATGACTTTTTTTTCTATGATAAAGTGTAACAAATAAGAACTTTTATGTTATTGAAAGAAGATGATTCACAAAGCACAACTAGTGATCTAAAAATTGCTTTGAGAATTCTGTATGTAGTTTTGATCTTTCATAAAAACTATGTAAAATTCCATGATGTGAAACTGAAGTCACCTAGAAATGACGCAATAAATAAATCCTTCTCCCTCCTTCCAATTCTTACCCTGTCTGCAGAAACAATTTGTGGTTCCTAGGTATGTGAGGTGGGGCAAATCATCTGTAAAAAAAAGATGATTGGTGTATTTATTATTCTGTCTGGTGGGACAATATGCATAGTTTTCATCCCCAGAATAAATTTAGCTGGGAAGTCTGAAACAATTCTAAGTGGAATAATGACAAATATTTACATGCCAGTTACTGACATTTTTATTCATCACAGGGTCCTATGCAGAAATATTTTTGGTCCCAAAGGCAGTGCGTTAGAGATGAACAGTGAATGAATACACAAGTGTACTGAAAAGCAGAAATCCCATGGATCTCAGAGGATCCACAATTTCATCTTCTGCTTTCTTATCTTTCCTGTCTAAGGACCAAGTCCTACAAGTGTTTTCATTCTGCTTACATCAAGGAGAGACAGAAGTATTCCATGCCTCTTTTTTTGTTCACTAATTCAGCCAAATAGAAGTTAAAATCAAATGCTCAGATAACTTCATCTTTGATACATCTTTGTCTATCCTTTTTTTCCAGGAATTCCCACCACTGAAGGGTGTGGAGCTGCTTGGGGGAGGTTATTCCCATCTGCATTGTTTTGGTTCTATAATACTTTTAGTTTATTTTTCTTCTTGTTATGATTTACCAAACTGACTTACAAGCTCTGCCAAGAAGAGACCGTTTTCTGGCCATTATTTTCAGTGGTGCCTGAACTCTTTGTGCCTGTAACGCAAAACCAAGATGCCTTTAAGACTCTTAAAACTCTTATAGTGTTATTTATAATACAGATTGTTGGGCCTGATGTTTTCTGTAACTATAGCTGTTGCATGGAAATACTGGGTATGTGCAAGGCTTCTAAATAGGTTTTGCCTGTTCATAAAGCAAGTGGAATATACTGCTGTGGGTGCAAGACAACAGAAAATCCGTTCAGGATGTTTGTAGGATGCCGTTCACAATTATTTCTTTCCAGTTAAATGACTCCCTAACCCTCTTTCCAGTGTTAATTTACAGTAACAGAGACCACTATATATGTTTTTTTTTTTTAATATGTGGCATGTGGTAAAACATTGTAGTAATTTCAGAGCACTGGAAGACACTGATCAGAGTTAATATGTTTTGTGACTCATTTGACTTCAGTGGGGTTACACCAGGGGTACATTTAGGGCTATGAACCCTTATTTTTCCTCTTGATCAAACAGTTGTTTAACCATTGCGAGCCTCTTGGGCATTATCATCTTTCATCTAAGTTTGTGATTCTAGCTTTAAGGCTTCCTTAAATTATATCTTCTTATGTTCAGTCATTTTCTCAGCTCTCAGCTGCACAGCTAAAATCTCCAGCCATTTTGCATTCTCAGGTGGGCATTTCATGACTTAATATGATTTCCATTAGACAGTGATTTATTTTTTATTAAGCCTACATTAGGTTTGATATCCTCTACCGTTCCTTTGAACTTGTGGAAGCAACAGATATTTTTGTGGCATTCTGAAATGGCATTATGATCCCTTTTTTAAGTGTCTGTGGATTTTTCTGGCTTTCTTAATTTCCACTACATATGGTCCCAAACCAGTTCAATCTTAATAAGTACAAGTAGTTCTCAAATCCTTGTTCTTTCATAATGAGAAATAGCTCCTCTTCCAGTTCTTTAGTATTTATTGTGGCTTTTTTCAGCATTCTCAGGTTCTTTTAACTGATTTTTCTTTTGCTGCTGCTAATGTTAAATGCCAACACTTACATGTGACTGCAGTAAATTATTTTCTTTTCTTCATTTTCTCTGATCCTGCCAGCTCTTCTTGGGAGGCTGCAGGAATATGGTTCTTGCCTCCCTTCTGCCACCCCAAATTCCTGCAATTGTGAGTTGTCTGCCTTAACTATAGCAGTTTCTGCCTAACCAAATAGGCCATTCAGAATTCATCCCCATTTCTTTATTTAGACAAGGCTAAAGGGAAGTTTTATTTTGTTGAAGCCCCTGTGTTTGTGTGATTCACATGCAGCATTGGTACTATTTGTCTGCTGGCTCTAGGCTGATCCTGGAGGTGACATTCGTATCGACGTCATTGCTAATATTGCCTGTTGTGGAGCAGCCCAATTATGTTTTTCAGTTACTGCTCACATTTCTGCTGGCTATTTGCATAGCTGCTGTTGGCCTTTCTTATCTTCCTCAGCTGCCTGCACTGAGCAACAAATAAAAATTCAGTCAGCGTTTTTAGGTGAACACTGCTTTAATTCATCTTCTGGCCGATGGCTAGCGCAAGGTCCAACACAATCTGAGTCCTGTATTTGATCTTTTGTTGGATGGAATCCTGCATGATGAGGAATTTCTTGAAAGCTTAAGATTACACTGAGTCACAAGTGCTGGTGTACTCAGTCTGGTTCCAAGTGGATATTTGGTTATGTGAAAAACAAGACTGCTGGCTGTTGGGAGCATCTTTCTTATGTAAGAAGCAAAGCTTGGGCAAGAAAAGAGAATTGCAGGTTGGAAATGAGTGCATTTGACAGACTGTGCTGGGCATGTGATCTTTTTCAAATTAGTGTCTGCTCTTACTGCTAGTAATTCTTCACATATTAATGCCTTTTGCTCTTTCATCCTTATGATTATCAATACTCACTTACAAAAGGAAGAAGAAAGTACTTGTTCTGCTCAAAGGTTAGTTTAATTCCATTCTCGTAAAAGAGCATCACAGACTCCGTACTGCTGTGTCTCAGTGATTCCAATAGCCAATAAAGTCAGTTTTGAACAACAAATATTTTTAGAATAATCAGTTCTGGCAAATTCAACGGGAAATCAAATGTCATGCTGGGTTCCTTCATTCATAGTAATGATTCTCAGTTAATTCTGTTGACAATGCATCAGCCAAAAGAGAATTTAAATTGCTTCTTTTTTCCAGAGTTTTACTGCTTTGGAATGCTAAAATATAAACTTAAAAGTTAGTCGGATGCTGTTCTGAATTGAGTTGGAAAGCCTGTCTGACCAAGGAGGTGTCATTTTTTTCATACATCCCAGAAAAATCCTAGATAGACTTATATGTGTGTCTTCAAGATAAAATGTGTGTCTTCAAGATAATCTGAAGACAACCTATGCCTCTTTAAAATGATATAGCATGTCATGTTTTCAAAGCTTCTTCTTAATACATTGTTGTAATTAATACCCACTGTATATTTCCACATTTGCTACAATTAATTATTGGTTGATATTGACAGAGAAGACAGACTTAGAAAAACTGATTTTGCAGAAAGTCTTCATTAAAAATGGTTTAAATTTCATGCAAATTTTACAACTCTGAAAACTGAGTTGTGATTAGACAAAGATTTGTTGGATTATAAAAGTACAAGTGTTTATTATGGCTGGTACTGAGAATAAACAGTTGCCTGCATATGCCAGCTACTATGGAAATATGTTTTTAAGTTCTAATGTGAGCTGTAAACCAAAGCTACTTCAGTTAAAAAAATTCAATACTTAAACTGTGGGGAGAAGTAGTTGGTGCCAGAGAAAACATTCCCGTTTAATAATGTTTGAACATAGAGCTGTGATGCAGTTTGTAGCAAGGCAGTGAGAAAAACCCACAACTAATCCTTCATTGCAGCTGTCTGAACTTTTGGTTGTCTGCCATACTTTGAACAGCGACTTCTTTTTTTCTGGTGACTCAAGATTTGAATGACCTAGTGTGGAGAGTTTAAGCTATATACAAAAAAGAAGCTAAGCAAGAAATAGCCAAAGTAAGTCGGGTTGCACACCCCAGCAAATCAGGGTTTTGTATCTTAAGCCCTCTTCGGTGCCTAGAAAAAAAATAAAGTAAACAGATGCCTTTTTATTTATTTATTTTTGGCAAGGAAATATTCAGTGGTTTAGACCCATTTCTACTCTCACCCTGCTTCTCTTTCCTTAAAGTACTGGTCGTATATGGAAACTGAATTCTGTAGAGAGTCCTGATTTTTTTAAGCTTATAAATGCTAACCTTTTTTTGGAGAGTGACTTCCTAAGTCTTCTTTGATTATTTTTAACTTTTTCTTCCCTTTGATGTAGCTTTTAGGTAGGGCTTTTAAATAGAATCAAGCAACAAATGTGCTTTTTTACTGATTAATTCTTTTGCAAAGTAATGGAACTTTGCTTACTTTAAAGTGGAAATGAGGTAGGTGGAGGTATAACTTTATGTGAATATCAACTTAAAAGAAAAAAAAAACAGACTTTATGCCTTTGTCCCATTCTCACTATCACTTATATGAAAAGGGATCAAACATTTTATTATTTGAACTAGCGCTAACCCTGTAGTTGGACAAGTATTACCACTCTGGTCAGTTTTTGTCATGACTAATTTTAAAAGGGTCATTTGCAGCTACATTTTATGGTCTTTCATAGCTGCATACCTTGTTGCATCTCAGCATTACAAAATAATTAAAA